TTGACCCCAGAAGGAAGAATTGGAGTTTGAGACTCAACGATGCACTATGGGCTTATCGCACGGCCTACAAAACTCCTATAGGTATGTCTCCCTACCACTTGGTATTCGGCAAGCCATGTCATCTCCCTGTCGAACATGCGCATGGATGAGGCAGGAGAACAAAGGAAGTTGCAGGTGCAAGAACTAGAAGAGATTCGCAACAACGCTTATGAGAGCTCTCGAATCTACAAGGAAAAGACAAAAGCCTTCCATGACAGAATGATCTCAAGGAAAGATTTTGCAGTTGGTCAGAAAGTTCTTCTTTTCCATTCTAGGGTTAAACTCTTTCCTGGTAAGTTGTGATCTCGGTGGGTTGGGCCTTTTCACTGTTACTGACGTTTTACCTTATGGAGCAGTTGAGATTCAAAGTCCAACCACAGCCAAAAAGTTCAAGGTAAATGGGCACCGTCTAAAACCTTTCTATGAAGGATTTCTGGTAAACAATGTGGAAGAGGTATCTCTCGAAAGCCTAATCTATACAGAGTAAGGCATGAAATTCTGTCCTCACCCACCACCTTCCACCGCATCAGGAAATTTGTATTTTTTCTTCTTGTTTTTATCGTTTAGTTATTTCCACCTTTTCTTAAGTTTTAAGTGTGGGGGGGGAGTATAGGATCTGATTCGCGATAAGCAGTATTTTATTTTATTTCATAAAAAAAAAAAACTCAACTCTTTTGAAATCAATTGAAACAATATTTTGGAAAAATTCTTTTGGACCTAGTAATGAGGTACAATTAAGAAGTACACGACCTATCTGAAGCCATTCCCTTTTAAGCTAGTCCTAAATTCAGGTTTAAGTAAACAGGGCAAATACTTTACCATTGCTACAATAGGTAGGATGGAGAATAAAATGCACCTACCAGCCAAGTAATCCGATGGTAGAATGGAGAATAAAATGCACCTACCAGCCAAAGTAATCCGATGGTAGGATGGAGCATAAAACGCACCTACCAGCCAAGTCATCTGATAGTAGGACAGAGCATAAAATGCACCTACTAGCTAGCAATTCAAACAGTATGATGGAGAATAAAATGCACCTACTGACCAAGTAATCCAAAAGTGAGATGGAGAATAAAATGCACTCACTTCTTCAGAGGAGAGAAAAATAAAATAAAAAGAGAAAGAAGATGAAAAGGTTTTCTCTGATTTACTACCTGGTTTGCAGTAGCAAAAATTGGATTGACTGATGAATGAGTCGTGTATGACTTGGTTGTGTTGATTTAACGGTTCACAATATTTAACCTAAAATATTTGTGGAAAAAGATGGAGAGTTGAGTTTAAAAATTGGTAGGATAGTTAGTTTGTTCTTGTTCTATTTTTGCTTGAATTTTGTCTTGCCTGAGGACGGGCAAGGTTTAAGTGTGGGGGGATTTGATGAGAATAAAAACTATCATATTTTTATCCCTCAATATTCAGTCTTTTATACTTAATTAGTACCTAATTGAACTCACTATTCTTGTACTTCGATTTAGGGCACGAAAGAAGGCGTTATGGGAAAAACAAGGCTAATCGGGTAATTTTACACAGTTTCGGCACCGTGAGATAATTTGGGCATAACTCTCCCATCCGGACTCCGATTGAGAACATTCAAGATGCATTGGAAAGATAAGGAAAAACTCTACAACTTTCATGTTTTGAGTTTTGATAGATTCGGACTGCATCGAGGTCAAAATCGGACCCAAAATCTAAGCAAATTCGTAGAGAAGCCAGTTCGCAGTTGAAGCCCATATCGCAGCTAAAGCCCAATTCGCAGAGAAGCCTTGTAGCGGCCCAATTTGTTAAGGAAGCCCAATACGAATGCAAGAATAAGAAACATAAAAGAGTCCTATCAGATTCAATTTTCTATTGTATTTTTAGAAAGATAAAAGAGATTAGGATTACCAGTTAAGAGATAGGAGTATATTAGATCTAATCTAAGCATTATCTATTAGAGAACTTATCTCCCAATGGAGAAAGAACTCCTTAGAGGAGAAGGGGACAGCTCCCTCCTAATTCTATATAAAAAGGGAGGCGGACTAGCACCCAGGGCATCATCAAATCCTCCAAGAGAGCTTCAGCCTTCAGAGAGAGACATCAACAACCAAGGAGGAAGAAGCAAAGTTCGCCCCCCCTCTCATCTGGAAGCTGCGATTTCATCACGAAGTGTCTGTAAGGTTTTATTTTCTGGTTGAAGGGTTAGGGAAGCTTTGATTCTATAAACATTGTGAGATCTAATTGTTTTTTATTTCAGTTCATTGTTTATGGGTATTCATATGTTTTCTGCGATTAACTATGAGGATTATTTTTATTGATTAAGCAAGAAGGGCCCCTTGCTCATTCAATGAAAATAATCTATGGCCGATTGAACCTCCAGTTTCGTATATGATTGGTAGGTTCRATCATGGTGGCAACTAACAGAAATTGATTGCAAAAAAGTTTTCGATCTATGTTAGGAAAATGTATGATCTGGTTTAAACGGTCCGAGCTTGTGAGATCGCTGAACAGAATTGGGTTTCTCCCCTCTTAATGCTATTAATAAGAAACCCAATTCTGGTTGGTTGTCGAATAATACGAGTAGAGGCTGGCCGTCAGAGCTTGTTAATGGCTATAACCAATTTATTCGTAAACATATGAATCTATCTTTGCATCGAGGATCAATGATAAGAATCAAAGCTGAACTTGTCCCTTCAACCGGAAGCTATCATACATCGATTTAATCTTTTGCTTTCTATTATTTTCTATTATTTTCTTATTTTCCTTAGCTTTACAACCCCCTTACTTCGTTTAATTGGAAATAAATCCACCCAATCCCTGTGCAGACGATCTTGCTCATCACTATCTACAAATTATTTAATTGGAACAAGACTATTTATCTTTGGTTGGATTCGACACCCACCACTATGTAAACAAATTGGGCATGATTGATATCTATGCTCTTGAGGGGGTGTAGAGATGATGGGCCGGATGGACCATAGATCCTTTTCATTTTAGTTACAGCATTGTTATGTTTTATATCTTTAATAGTGGGGCTCAGTTATGGATCTGTTTTAGTTTTCTTTATTGTCTTAATTTGTTGGCCGCCCTAATAAGGGCATACTTTTTTTTATAATTGAAAATTTAATTCATTACTCAAAGAAAGATCTGTTACAAATAAGCCCAGAAAGAGGCTCAAGGTGCAGCCTCACTCTTTAAGAACAAATCAGGACTACATGAGATACAAGTTACCACTAGAAGAGAGATTATACACAATCATAAAGCTGCCCATAACAGAGAAACCCTATTAACTCCTTGTTTTGCGAGAGAATCAGCCCATCTCATTAGCCAATCTTCTTACCCATTGGATCCTCACTATCATATTCCTTGTTACCCAAGCCACCTTCTTAAGAAGATCTCTTAAACCCCAGACAGTCGAATCTGGATCCAGCAACCATCCCACAACAACGCGTTCTAATAAAAGTAGATTTGAGGGTTGGAGAGAGGTTCGGTAGTCTCTCTTCTTCCTTATCTTCCTTGTCTTCGTTCTCTTGTTCTGAACTCTCTTTCTTCTTTTTTCTACTTTATTTTCATATTTGTGCAGATGTGACTTACATAACAGGGAGAAAAGAAATAGATAGAACAATGCAGAAGAGTCCTTCAATGTTCAATACTCTCCAGGAAGCTCTAGAAGCAACCCCAAGACCTGCTATTGATGGAATGTCTAGAAAAAGACACATCAAACCCTAGGAAGTTGATAAAAATTTTTGGGCAAATGATGCAAATCAGAAAGAAGAAAAAGAACCCGGTCTGCAAATTGGAACTTCCATGAGAAAATAGGGTTTTTCATGTTACAAGCCCACAAAACTCCTACAAGTCTCCATCCAACAATGGTCTTTTAAAAATCAGGCACCAAGCAATTTGTTCTCCCCTTTTCTCAAAACAATTGACCAACAGTGATATTTTTATTACTCAACCTATACAGGCCTGGATAAACATAACTTCTCATTCCCATATCACTCTTCCCAAAATATCATCTTTCTTCCTTGTTCACTAGAAATTTGGAACATCTTAACAAATACTTACAAGTCAGCGCATCATATAACACTGAATTCAAAATTTCCTAATCTTCTCTGATTTGACACCATTAGAACTGCTTTATCCTTCCAACAAGTCTAATATTGCATATAATCATACAATAACTGACTTATGGCCAATAAGTCAATTATCAAAAAAAAAATAATTGATTTGTGCATTTTTTTATTGGTGAATTGACTACAAATCCTTTTAACAAGTAAGCAACCCTTGATTGGTTATCAATTATCTGTTCAGATTACAAGATTTCACTTCTTCCCCTTGATAAAAGTTTGTAACAGGTTTAAAGATATCTTATGAAACACAACAAAAATATAACCACACAGAAAATAGATATCACAAACTCCAAGCTGAAAAACAACATAGAAGCAAAACAACCCATCAGAACAAATTTTTAAGCAAGTTGATTTTAGTGTTTTATCAAACTGGAACTTCAGTTATTTGATAAAACATGGTTGGCTAGTTGCCACTAATATAAAAGAAAATTAATGCCTATCAATTTATAAATGCAGTAAATACTCTTTCTTTGAATGTAGAACTCCAAATTAGAATGAAATAATGTCATGTTAGTTTCATTGCAATATTGCACTTGAGGCCATAACCATCATCTAAATGGACTCACGAGTCATGTCAGGAGCATTAAAAAATATTTTTTATCAATAAGAGCATTAAAAAAGATTGAAATGAGAACATTTTAGAATTTAGGTAAATGAACTATTTGCAATCAAATAACTGATCTGTTCGGTTGTTGAACTTAAAGGCTTAAATCCTATGTAAAGTACAATGAAATGATTTTATTCTTCATGTATTCCATGTTCCAACCAAATCAAAACAAAATGTGATCATCTCAAACACAAAAAGGCACTACATTTGTACAGTAATCCACAATACAGGAAGCAAAAATCAATTCAAACCTGATCAGCGACCACTTCCACAAGCTCCAACTCATGGACATGCCACTGCCTTGCACTATCTGAGGGAAGCATTAAAACCATCAATGCATAACGTTTTGTGGAAAGCTCCGGCCAATCATTAATCTGGAAATTTGAGAGATGTAGAAGTGGGACACGCACAGCAACAACCTCCCCAGGAATATATTTTCCTGTGAGAGGCCGGATTCTTGCAACTGGGGAACTCGGTGATATTTTTACAGCACGGCTGGTGCTAAAAACTTGATTGATCACAGGAAGCTGAATAGGTACAGTAAACCCAACAGGATTTTGGTGGCGAAGAGTATAGGAAAGTTGAAGCTCCAAACCAGTGCGTGTTGGCATCCACAGTGCACACTCCTCCAATGCCAAAGTTCTACCCAGCTCAACAAGAGTGGTCTTCAGGATGGTATGCCTGTCAAGGGTGCTTCTTATCTCATGAGTCAGCATTCTAACATGCCGGCCAGTTTCTTCCTGTGTACGAATCAGGCCCATCTCTCTGTCAAGCGCAGCAGCCTTATTTTTTAAAAATAACTCTCTAGTCTTCACACTCAACAAATCAGGAATAATATGCACAAGCATGAGTGCAGTTGCACAAGACACAACAGCAGTCAAAACTTTTGCTGTGGTCATTACAACTGCCACAGTTCTTGAATGTGTACTGAAAGTCCACAAGTTAATAAGGTGTGTTGCTCCACAAAGAACTATGAAAGCACCAAATTGCACAAGCACCCATCTATAAGGGAAAACGGCAGATTTCTTTACAAAGTAGATAAGTTCAAGAGGAATTGAAAAATAAGCAAGTGCAATGAAGAAGTCTGAAATATATTGGTACTTCATCAATAGTTCGTCAGCTGGCCATTGTGGCTCAATACAGTTGCAAGACTCCATGTTTAATTTTTTTATACGTAAGATGTGTATGATATATGGAAAGGGTTAGGTTCTCATGTACAAAAGGCAAGCACTAGCCCAAAAATAATACGAAGTTCCACAGCTCCGTAACCCTCAACCAATACCTCCTTTTTTACATACCTGCAGTAACAGGAAAAGAATGCTATAAATTGGAAAACGGGAATAGATATAGAAAGTTGAATAAGAGTTATAACTGTTTCTGATTAAAAAAAGATATAGAAAGTTGTCACAATAAAACAAGCACAGAATGAAAAATAGAAATATAAGGATAGAAAATTTAACATGTAGCACAAAAAAAATGATAGACTCATGTTAAGTTGTCCAAACACAAGTACCAACCTAAGAGTATAATGATACTATACCTACAGATAGCCAATATAGGGAAGTTTCTGAAATACGAAATTGGGAAAATTAGCAGGTAGAACTATGCCAAGTTGAAGTTAATTTCCACTGAGAATGCCTTGAATCAGAGCAACGTGGCATACAGTCTAAATGGCACCACAACTGTCCACAGACAAAGCTCACACATCCACAGATTTCTAACCTGGTTTTTTAAAAGTGCAAGGGACAAGGTGAGGCACACGCCTTTTCAAATCAAGGTGCAAAAATACAAAAAATACCAATAAATTCAAAAATGCCAATAAATTTAAAAAAAATGCTAAAAATAAAAATATATATTAAACATAATATTAATAAAAATATAAACATAATATTAATAAAAATATAAACATAATTTTAAAATAAATATTTTAAAAAACTTATAAATTAAAATACAGAAACATAACATTTAAAGTGTATTCAAATGAAAATTTAAAAATAAAATCAAACATATAAAACATTTTCAAGCATGTAAAGCCCACAATTTCTTTTTTTCCTCAATTGCATTACTTCAAATAGCTAACGTGATGTAAGACATCTTGCATTCTTGATTCTACAAACCACCTTTGTACCAAGCACCTATTTGCTAATGTTGTTCATTCATTCATCCTAGTAAAATGTCTTCCTAAAAGGCAATTAAAATTATAAAATCATTTTTTCGTGTAAGGATTAAGAAGTTAAGATGCTAACATGGACTTGTTTGGGCTTGCCTTGAGGGACTTGGTTAGGACTCAAAAAAAGAACAAAAAGCACAAAACAAGGCACACACCTGGACTGAAGCACAAGACACACCAGGCACGCGCCTTTTGAAAGTGCTGCACCTAGGGCCTAGATGAGGCACACACCTTAAAATGCGCCTCGCCTGAGAACCTAGGCACGCCTTTTAGACCACTGTTCTAACCATCATACTTCAAGGCCCTTATAGAATGAACCACCATTAAGACAAAATTGACAAGGATAAAGTGTAAGCAGATTCATCATTTTACCCATCTGTATTGGGTCCCAATTTAGATAATTATCCAAGTAGTAAACATGTTGACTAGCTTGAATTTGAACCAATTACACTTTACTAGAAGAATCCAATGGAAGACTGCATTGAGATAATCAGATAAACAGGGACTTTAGAACTGTGTGAAATTCTCTCACCTCAGTACAAGAATATGCACAGAATTTATTACAGTCCAAATAAATAACTGTATGTGCCACATAAAGGAAGCACCAAAGGTGCAAAGCATGCAATACAACCAGCTTTAAGAAGACAAAAGATCTAATAGCAAAGATCAATGAAAGTTTTGGTAGAAATGCTAAACAGTGTAAAGAAAACCGGATTGGGCCAGCTTGTCAAACCGGTTGAACCATGACTTGGGACCCTAACCAGTTCGGTCACACCCCAATAACTGGACTAGCTCAAAACCCGGTAAAAAACGGCTGACCAGCCGGTTTAAACAGAAAACCAGTGAACCGATCCCAGATTCATGAAACCGTCCGGTACAATACACAAGTGAAATTTAAAAATGTTAACAAAACTTGAACCCAAGACCTCTTATTTTCACATATTACTTAATTACCACTAATCAACCTTTTTATTTGTGTTAATTAATGACTCTATTGTACATATTAAATTATTATGCACGTAATTTAAAGAAAACGTAAATTAAAAGGCATAAACCCTAGTCATTTGTTTTAAAAATTAAGAAGCTTACCATCCATCCATTGGACTGTCAATGGGTCAGATCTGACCCGATGTAACCCAAACCGATTGTATCAGTCCTGGTTCTAGGATTTAGAGCCACAGGTTAGTTTTGGTTCCAGTTTTTTGGTTCATTTCCCTCCCCCCCTCCCCCTTTCTAATTTCTCTTGTATCAACAGTCGGCTCCAACCTCCAAGTATTCAAGTTTCAGGCTTCACTTTGCAGGTACGCTCTCTCCTCCTCCCTTTCCCCCTTTTTTCTCCTTTATTCCTTTAATCTCATTGCTTTTTTCACTCAATCACTCCCACTCTCCCTTTCACAGTTTCACTCAATATCAATCCTCTCTCGGTCTCAGATATATTGAACTCCAAGAAATCAAAATCTAATTTGTACAAACTATGAGTGTGAGGCCAAAAGTAGCAGCAACATCTACCGATGGAGGCAACAACGGCAGCAACGATTGGTGGAGTCCGACCAATGGAATCCTAGGCAATTGTGATGACAAAGCTTTGCAACAGTGTGGCTGTGTGGCAACCAACAGGTATGTCTCATGCCTGAAATTAGTTTTTTTTTTGTCTTGTTCAAAGTTACAACAGAAAAATCTATAGTTTGGTTGTGATTCATTTCCATTACTTGATATAGATTGAAAGTTTGCTACTTGCTAGACCTAGGTTTTTTGTTCTTCTTCTCGCAGGGAACCATTGAGTCAAGCCCAATAGACCCAAGAACCAGTCTGTTCGGTTCTGGGTCCAAAATTACAGACCCAGTTCCAGGTCCATGGTTTTTCTTGTAGGTTCGGACCGGTTCTAGTATTCTACCAGGTTCCGACCCAGAACCAACCTGTTGACAGTCCTATCCGTCCACAATATTTAAGTATATTAAAAGTTGTAAAATATATTATATATAGCAAGTATATGACTCGTAGTATATATATGTATATGCCACATCATCACAGTTCGACCCCGATTGAACCTCTGACACGTGAACCTCTCCCTTCTCCAGTTCTATGCTCAGTCCAATTCTCTGAACATTGATGCTAGAAGATTGTAAGAACCTAAGTGGGTCTCCTGTGAACAGGAACCATATGTATATTTCAAATTTTCAATATATACCTGTTTAGTTAAGGGTAAAAGACTTAAACATCCCCTGGGTTTTCTCATAAAGACTAAAACATACCCGTGTTTTCTCAAAGGACTTAAACAAACCTTCCACTTTCATAATAGACGGAATTAATTAAAAGAACAATTATGCCCTTTCAAAAACATGTTATTCTTCCGGACTTGACCGCTGAATCACCTTTGTCGCAACACCTCGTGCTGCAATGAAAGTTGTATCTACACTACCAACTTCATATACAAACAAGGTCCCTGCTTTTATCATTTTCTTAATTTTAACAATTTTTGCCTAATTTCAATGCTCAATTAATTAGTTGATGATCAACAAGTTAAATGGTCCATCTGTTGTCTGGTCCCAAAATACATCGTGTTTGTCTTGTCTCCATAAACTGGACTGAACTCAATAAGAGGATAACATAGTCACAGGCTTTCTTCCATTTTGGGACTAATCCATTGGATTTGGAGTCTCTTCAATTATCCATTTGTTATTCCATGCAGTATAGTTTTGGGATTTAACATTATTCTTCTTAAAATGAAAAACCAGAAGAATTGCATTAATTAGTAAAGAAAAAGAAACTGCAATTAGAGCTCAATAGATGATGCAAGGAAGGAATCCACTTACCTATACAGTCCCCAATGGCTACTTCTTCAGCGCTCCAGCAGTCCAAAGCACTCGGTTCTATCCTCTGCTCCTAGTTCATCTGCTTTTGCTTTAATCTTTTCTTAATCTAACCCCCCCTGTCTCTGGTTCTTTTGAGTTTGAATTCTTGGCAAATTTCCTTCCAACACTTCTATTACGGCTTATGATTCAAGTTGTTGAGCTGTTCTAGAACAGTCAGATCCAACCAATGAATTCACTTACTTGCAGAGGTCTCAGCACTTAGAAGGACAAAATTGGGTTTCTAAAATATTTAAATGTGCACCGGATGTCACATGTTAACAGAAGTTGATAGAACATTAAGGCAAGGTATATTTAAGTCATGTGACAACATTCCACAAGGTATGTTTAAATCCTTTGAGAAAAGGCAGGGTATGTTTTAGTCTTTATGAGAAAACCCATGGCATGTTTAAGTCTTTTACCCTTTAGTTAAAGTACAAAGATGAAGCACAGACAAACCCAATGACACCTAAGGTTCTAAATATCGATAGGGTGTATCGGGCAATATCGTTAGTGTTTTTTTTACTTTTTTTTATTTTTTTTCAAAACCAGTTCAGGAGGGGCGGCTTAAGGCTCCTCCACCCCCTGAACTGGTCAGAACCCCGACACACCCTCTGTAGGGGTGTATCAGAGAGCTCCCAAAATGATACGTATCGGCCGATACATATAGATACTTTGAACCTTGATGACACCTCAACCAGAAAAGCCTTACAAGCTTGGTCAATCAATCATCTCTGAATGACAATCATTCAAAATATCATGCTGCTTTTACAAAGCCAATACCTACTCCCAAGTTGCACTTTCCCAACAATTGCCACTCTACTAAATATTCAATGTAAACCCTTTACTACATCAGTCACCTCAGCCACCATTGGTAGTAATACTGCAAAACATCATATGCCAAGAAGACCCATATTACTCTACAACATCTAAAGCTGTCCCCTAACCCTCCACCATTTTCTTTTCACGCCCATCCTTAATCTCAATGATCCCACGATGGCTAATTGCAGGACAGGGACGATATTTTAAGTTATTGGCCTCCTCTATGTGTGTGTGCGCTAACCCACCCAAACCATCCAGACAATCAATGTCCACAAGGGTGGCTCTCCCAACTAACCAATTGGTCTATCAGACATAATTAACCCTCAAGTAATCAACTAGACCTCTGTTAAAGCTTAGAAGCAAAAAATAAATAAACAACCGTTAAGAAGCCGTGGATACTCAGCCCAACTAAGACTGCAACGCCTTATCCCAACCCTAAGGAGTCGGCTAGACAAATCCCATTTCCCCTTTGATTTTACTCATACCATGAAATCGGGCAAATCCAACACCTAACCATCATATGCTCGTCTTCATTACTTGTGAACTTCATGATAACCCATAAATAAACCTAGAAACCCCAACCCAGATCCACACAAGCTTCTAAGATTGTTTTAAACCCATTAAAACCCCAAAAAAAACACAAGTAAGACCTAAAAAACTGACTGTAAATCCTTTTTATTTCGGTAAAGGACTGGAAATCGAAGAACACAAAATCACATAAAATAAAGCCGAGTTAGAGACTAGACCCTCTTCGGATACACTAAAGTAAAGATAAGCCCACATCCAAAAAATATACAGACAAAAACAGAAAAATGATTCAGACGCAGACCTGATTCCTCTGAACTTTACTCTGATCGATTGAGCCAATGGTCAGAGGCGGGTTTTCCATAAGCGATCCCTGTGATTCATGGGAGAAAGAAAGTGACAATCAATTACATATATCTTCAGTTTTACAGCCTCCAAATCTATAAAGGAGAACAAGCAAGATATAGTCGAAAGGAAAGCGTTTCACAGGAGACAAGAAGAGTCTCTGGTGCATGAACCTGTATCTAAAAGGTCACACCTTACAAAGCTGGGGACCACGTGTCCTGATTGTGCCAATTGATGACAGAATATACACTACTTTATACGTATCGTATCTGTACGCTACTAGTTTTATACGTATATATATGCAAAATGTCAGGTGAAACTGTAAAAGCATAGTGGTGGTAATTAGGTTTCGCGGCACTGTGGCGGCGCGGAAGATTTTTTCCTTCTTTTCAGGGGAGACGGGATGCTTCATGGCTTCCAGCCTCCCACTAGGATGGTTGGTCAAATTTGTCTTCTCGGCAAAACAGCAAAACCATTGAAAGAAGGATATAGTCCTTCTCACGGTGAAAATTAAAGCCACAAGCTGGGGAATGATCATCCCACTACCGATAAGCTGCCACGTGTTTATAAAATGAATACTTGTATTAAAATCTGTGCAATTTCCAAATACCATATAATATATATCATGTGATGGGGATATCACCAATACCAAACAAAAAAATGACCTAGTGGTTGCTCAGTTGGCATTTATAGAAGAGATGCGGATTTGAATCCTGATATTACTATCTTCGTTCAAAACTTAGGTGGCGTATGATAAATATGAAATTTGAAATTTATAAAATTAAAAATATATTAAAAGGGTCTGAAATCTGAAAAGAAACATTGTTGTTTTGAGGCTCTAAATAAAATAAAAAAATTGTTTGTGTTGGATCAAATCTTCAGTATCTGAAATTCATTAATTTTATTATTTTACCCCTAAAATAGACTATTTGATTGCAGTAGCGAGATAAGAAGAAGAAATGAGAGAGAGAGAAAAAGAAGGGAGTCGGAATTCGCCACCGCTAGTTCATCGAAGGAGTTACAACGACAAGAGTTATAGCGGCGAGAGAAGAAGAAGAAGAAGGGAGGGAGGGAGGGAAGGGGAGAGAGAGAGAGAGAGGAGGAAGAAGGTTGGAAGTCGCCACCACTAGTTTGTCGGAGGAGTTGCAGCGGTGAGTGAACGAAGAAGAAAGGAGAGAGAGAGAGAGAGAGGAGGAGGAGGAGGAGGAGGAGGAGGAGGGAGAAAGGTCGGAACTCGCCACCGCTAGTTCATCGAAGGAGATGTAGCAGCAAGAGAGGAAGAAGAATAATGAGAGAGAGAGGCGAGGGTTCAAGGGTATTTTGGACTTTCAGACAGGTATGAAACGCATATGAATGCGTTTAGCGCCTAGCCCATGTCTTATTATTTCAGACCTGGAAATGATTTTCAAACCCAAATTCAGATACACTTCTAAACACCTCTGACATATGAAAATCAACATTTTCAGACTTTAGAGGTCTAAAAAGTGTTACTAAACGCCACTGTGATGTGTTAAGAAAAAAATATATTTCATATCATATTATATAAAGGTGATACTTTATTTGGATTCCATAAAGGTTATAAACTATGTCAAAAAAATGTTATTATAATAATCTAAAAAATAAAATTTCCATAGAATGTTATTAAAGTAGATAAAACAAAAATGAAAACATGATCGTTACATAATAATATTATTAGATTGACACTAACAAATCTCACTTAACTATAACATCTCACGACATATAATAATAGGACAGAACTACATATGGCCCATTAGTCCCCACCCCTAAGACCAAGTTTGACCCATCATAACTACACATGTTCATGCTTCGAACCGGATCGGGCTGATTTTGGGCCAATATTTATCTATGTATCAATAGAATACATCCAGGCCCAAGACCAAGTCCAACCAAAATTTTGAAAATATTTCTTTCTTTTTTATTTAATAAAATAAGTATTTTATTTATATTAAAATCCCTCAAAACTTAAAAAAGAGAAGAGAAACAAAGAAAAAAATATTGTATGTATATTTTTAATTAATAAAATATGTTTTTTCAATATATAATATATTAATATATTATCTAGCTGGGCTTGGGCTAGGCTTTTCTAAGAAAGCCCAAACCCAACCTGGAAAAAAAAAAGGTCAAGCCTAAAGTTTTGGGCCCGAGCTTGAGCCTGCAAGCCAAAAATCATGTCCAAGCCTAAACTTGAACGAGTTGAGTCGGACCGGCCTATTGGGCTTCGCAGCCCATGAGCAGGTCTAATCATAACCAACAAACATAAATAATCATAAACTTCATTCCAAAATACACATAACAGTCCCTTGTGTTAAATAGTGTATGCCCCTAGCTCCAATCAACTTAATGTACATAAACATTTATTGTAAAATGAATAAAAGTACATAATTTATTCATGTTATATATGGTGTGTTTATGTGTAATTATCCTTAAACTAGACACTTATGAGACTTGCGTTAGTTTAGAATGTTCTCAGCAGTTGAATAGACTTAGGGAAATTTATCCTGCCAAGGCTGACACTAATGTGCTGCCAAGTCGAATGGGGTAGTTTGTCTTACTTGCTAGGATTAGACCCGAAGCACATGTAGTGTGTGTTTGTTTGAAACACTGAACCCGAACAAATTTCTAATTGTGCCTTAGACCTTGGAAACTGGTTGGCAAAACTATAAAGTTACACCTAACCCCTATACTCGATTATGGTACTGTATTGAGTGTCGAATTGGGCTGTCTTTGATATACCAATCAGTGAAATCCTTCGGGGGTCAAAACTTGGGTATTTTGGGGCAGTATGAGAATTCACCCGAGTGGGTGATCATAGTGATAGGATCAGCCCCTTTATCAGACAAAGTGAATGATCGGAATTGTAGTATCTCTGATGGAAACCAAAACTGTCGACAGACGATTTTAAACTTGTTTGACATCTGTTTTGCAAAATATATTTATATATATATATATATATATATATATATATATATATATATATATATAATATTTTAAGAAAAAAATTTGCAAAATGTTTTAATTCCCGGTATCCTTCCGAGCAGAGAGTGCAACACTGTACCTTGTAGTAAAGAGAGAGGTCCTCTCTTGATGGGCTATATCTCACTTAAGTCCATTGTCATTACGCCTTCATAGGATGGCTGGACCCAATGACCATTTAGTGTAAATGTTGGGCCTATTAAGAGCCCATAGTGATGGGCTCAGGAGTTCACTGTGTCAACAGTGAATTTGGCCAAGCTTTGTTACAGAAGTTAGGCTGGATCCATATGGACTTTTGTGATGTCATTGTTAGGGTCCCATGCCATATAAAGAGAGTTAGGTTAGCCAACAATTAAAAATGGACGTGGGCCTACTTGCTTAATGGGATTAAGGCCCAAAAATAACTGGATTAATTAATAAATCACATGACAACTTAAGCAATAATGTGACTTGGGCGAATTTGGGTATGGATATGGGCTTAGATCAGCAATGGGATAAGGGGATAACTCTTATCCACTTAAGGAGTTTATAGTTATAAATATAACCTTAGAAAGTGCACTAGTTATCAAATAGTTTAAAAATATCGTTCCCACAAGGATTTAACAAAATAAGTATTAGAACTACGACCTTCCCTAATTATTTGGACAATCGAATTTCAGATTTGAAAATAAAAACTAATGAAAAGAAAAAATAGAAAAACAATAGCATAAGTAACAATGCTGAAGTATGTAACGATTGGTTGAATCCGCTAGGGCTTTCGGTCCACCTAACCATTCCAATGAATATTAATAGACGAGATTATCCAAGATAATTTGTCATTCACATAAGTTGAACTCTTTCCAATTTTATTTAATATTCTCTCTCGAGATATACTAAAACTACTTCTATCAGGTAACCCTTCGATCTCTCGACTATAGTTCTCAAGATAGAAGCGCATTAAGTCCAAGGAAAAACTATTATATTCAGAT